TTGGCCAGGCTGGTCTTGAACTCCTGACCTCGTGATCCACCCACCTCAGCCTCCCAAAGTGCTGGGATTACAAGCATAAGCCACTACACCTGGCTCCTTACTGTTTACTTATTGTGCATATACTCTTGGCTTTTAGTTTGTGGTTACCATGAGGCTTACATAAAACAACAGGATATTTCAGACTAATAATTTTTGTTGCATTAAAAAAAACTGTATACTTTTACTCTGTGCTCCCTATTTTGTTTTTGATGTCACAATTTGTATCTTTTTATATCATATATCCTTTAACAAATTATTGTAGTCATTATTTTTTAAAGTTGTGTCTTTTTTTTTTTTTTTTTTTGAGACATAGTCTTGCTCTGTTGCCCAGGCTGGTGTGCAGTGGCACAATATCAGCTCACGGCAACCTCCACCTCCCAGGTTCAAACCATTCTCCCTGCCTCAGCCTCCTGAGTAGCTGGGATTACAGGTGCACGCCACCACACCCAGCTAATTTTTGTATTTTTAATAGAGACTGGGTTTTGCCACGTTGGCCAGGCTGGTCTCGAACTCCTGACCTCGGGTGGTCCGCCCACTTTGGCCTCCCAAAGTGCTGGGATTACATGTGTGAGCCACCGTGCCCGGCCTAAAGTTTTGTCTTTTAACTTTCATACTAATGATGTAAGTTGATTTGCAAACCACCATTATGGTATTAGAGTATTCTGAGTTGACTATGTACTTACTTTTTAACCAATGGATTTTATATTCATGTTTTCCTGTTAATAATTAGCATCCTTTTATTTCAGCTTGAAGAATTTCCTTAACATTTCTTATAAGGGAGGTTTAGCGGGGATGAACTGTCGCAGCTTTTATTTGAGAGTCTTTCTCTCACCTCCATTCCTGAAGTAGAGCATTGCAAGGTAAGTGCATAGTCCACTTCTCTTTGTTTTTAGGGGGCCAAAGCTCTGAATTAATTTACCAATAGCCTTAATGTAGTGATTTTCTCAAATGCTGGTTGTTTTTAGTTTGTAATAGTGGTGTACTGTGCGTGTGAGCAGGTTTACTGTCTCCTACAGAGATGGGGAGTTGGAGGTTCATCTTGTTCTCCAGAGCTGTGTGTACTGTTGTCCACAGAATTACATTGGGTTGTGCAGTTCACTCTACAGGCCAGTAGGTGGTGCTTGCGGTCAAGAGCCGGCCAAACACTGTCCAAGGGGTCATGGAGGTTGATCTCCCAGCCAGTAGCTCACGCTTGCAGGCACAAGGTAGTTGCAATGGTGTAAAATTTTTACTTGGCCTTTGTTAATTAGGAGGGGTATCAGAGCTCCTAGGCAGTGAGTGAGCCCATGGGGTTCCCAGTGGTCCCCATCCCAGCTCTACTGCCAAGGTGGCTGGCAAGGTTCTAGGGTCAGCTTCTAGGCCACTGGGGATATCTTCCAGAGAGGCTGGAGGTGCCTCTCCTGTGCCACAGAGACCATTCACGGGAATTGGAACAGTCCAGGGTTTTCACTGCACCACATTGCAGTGGGACCCACCCTGCTCTCACACTCCTGAGCTGGCAGTTCTACAGCATCTAGCTATCAGCAGCAGGACAGAATGGTTAGGCTAGTCCCAAGCCAACTGCATTCAGATTGCCTAGCCACAGGCCATGTGACTCCTTGGGGGCAGAAACCATGGTTATTAGGCCATACCCTTCCTCCTGGTCTACTCTTGTAGAGGGAAGGCCACCATGCTCCTCTGCCACTGCATGATGATCCCACACCATCCTCTTCTCTCTGTTCTGATAGTGGGGGCTCCTACCCACTTGAGATCAGATCACAAGTCTCCATGCTCCTGGATGGTGTACTTGAGTCCTGGGGAACCAGTAGCACGCCAGTAGACTTGTCCGCTGGCCCCTTGGGCTCAAGCACCAGCTGTGATAGGGAGGAGCAGATTGCCCCCAGGTTGCCAACAAAACGCTCATGGGGAATGGTGGACTACACTGTGGGGTCAGGTTCGCCCACACTCATCCCTTCCTTTCCCAACAAGCCATGGGAATGGCCAGGCAGGCAGTCTTGGAAGGGATGAGCAGGCGTGGGGTATGCTCAGATGTAGCCTTTGTGGCACATAAGAGTGTGAGTGCCTGGACCCTGCTTACTGCCTGGTCTGGCAGACAGCAGCAGCTGCAATAGCTTAAGGTAGGACAGAGAGTCTTGGGGGTTAGTGCCCAGAGTCACACTTTGCTGAAGTTGTTCAGCACATGGATGCCTTTGTGGTTCTATGCAAGTTCAAGGGACCTCTGTGTGGTCACCAGGTAGTTCCTTAGCTCCCTCTGCCAAGTCTGTGGGGTCATGGAACTCTTCTGTAGGGATCCTTCTTTGACACTGGGACTGGCGTGCAAGCCCACTTGAGGTGGCAATGGAACTGATGTCTGATGAGTGACACCCACAGAGCATGATGTGTAAGGGGACTATAGCTCCGGGGTGGTAATGGCACTGGTGCCCAGGGCACAGACACCCTGCCGACAGTTGCTAATGGTATGTGAAGTATGGGAGCTGTGAAACAGGCAGGGACAAGAGCACAAGTGTGCACACAGCTACAATGGCTTTAGGGTTGGGGCAAGGCCTAGCCCTTGATGATGACTGAGCTGGTCTCCAGGATGTAAACACATAGAGAAACCTTGGCTCTAGGCCGGATGCAGTGGCTTACACCTATAATCCCAGCACTTTGGGAGGCTGAGGCAGGCAGATCACCCGAGATCAGGAGTTCAAGACCAGCCTAACATGGAGAAACCCTGTCTCTACTAAAAATACAAAAATTAGTCAGGTGTAGTGGCACATGCCTGTAATCCCAGCTATTCGGGAGGCAGGAGAATCGCTTGAACCCGGGAGGCGGAGGTTGTGGTAAGCTGAGATCGTACCATTGCACTCCAGCCTAGGCAACAAAAGTGAAACTGTCTCAAAAAAGAAAAAGAAAAGGAAAAAGAAACCTTGGCTCTGGGGTCCAGGGTGCAAACACCCTTACTGTGGCAGTGGCTTTACTGTTTGCAGCATAGGTGTGCACAGCCCAGCCTTGGAGTCAGGGTCTGGAGCGTAGGCTGTCAGTGACAGCTGAGTTGGTGTTTGGAGTATGGACATGCAGAGAGATCTTGGCTCTGGCTTGCAAACTGGCTTTCTCTGACCATGGCTGTTGGTTACCTTAGTGGCAAAAGAAGGTGGTATCCTCTGCAGAGCAAGTCCCATGGCTGATGATAGCCCCTGCCTTTCTTCTTAGCCATCTCCTGATGTCTCAGGAATTCTGATCTCATAAGCAATTCTTTATGTACATATTCTGTTTAAATTCTCCACTAGGTTGTTGCATTCTTTAATGGGCCCTTGAGGCCGGGTGCAATAGCTCACGCCTGTAATCCTAGCAGTTTGGGAGACTGAGGCAGGAGGATCACTTGAGCTCAGTAGTTCAAGACCAGCCCAGGGCAATAGTGAGGCCCCTTTTCTACTGAAAGACAAAAACAAAACCACCAAAAACTTAGTCAAGTATGGTGGCACCTGAGTCCCAGCTACTTGGGAGTCTGAGGTGGGAGGATCACCTCAGACTCAGGTGATCCTCCCACCAGGAGTTTGAGGCTGCAGTGAGCTTCACACCACTGCACTCCAGCCTGGGCAACAGAGAGAGAGACCTTGCCGTTCATTAATTCATACAGATGTATCTTAAAAGACAATTGCCCTTGAGCCCTTCAGGGCTATTTTGGTTTGTGGATAGCAGTCTATTTCTTTTGACGGGGCATGAAGGCTGGTGTCTCCTACTCCACCATTTTGGTGATGTCACTTGCCAAAATATATACTTGTGATTTATGCATTTTTTGGTAGGTATAACATAATTTTTAAAGAAGTGATTACCTGAAAGTTAGGAGGCTATTTTTACCCCCTAGAACAGACATGATGTTTATTACATCCACTCTCATACATATGGACTAAAACCAAGACACACACACACACCTCAAATTGTTGGGGGAGTAAACTTGCCCACTGTGAAGCCATAGCAAGGCAAGGAGGAAGGCAGAGTTGTGAACAAATATCCAAAGAGGGTACTTTTTTTTCTTGGGTATCAGCAAATTGGCTTTATCAGGATTAGTAAGACTTTTTAAAAGCACTTGTGCAATACAGTATCCTAAATACTTTACATAAAGTATCTTACACAGTCCTCATACAATAACCCTGTGCAGTATATACTGTACCATCGCCATTTTACAGATGACATGGAGGATAAGACGAGTAACTTACCCAAGTTCATACAGCTAGTATGTGATAGAGCAAGCATTTAATCCCAAGCAATCTGACATCAGAACTTGCCTATAGGACAGCACTTAAAAATTTTTTTGGCTGGGCGTGGTGGCTCACACCTGTAACCCCAGCACTTTGGGAGACTGAAGCAGGTAGATCACCTGAGGTCAGGAGTTCGAGACTGGCCTAGCCAACATGGTGAAACCTCATCTCTACTAGAAGTACAAAAGTAGTAGCTGGGTGTGGTGGTAGGCACCTGTAATCCCAGCTACTAGGGAGGCCAGGGCAGAAGAATCAGTTGAACCCAGGTGGAGGAGGTTACAGTGAGCAGAGATCATGCCGTTGCACTCTAGCCTGGGCAATAAGAGCAAAACTCAGTCTCAAAAAAATTTTTTTTTCTTAAGGCGTCATTTTACCTTGGTTGTCTTCATATTTAAATCCATTCTCAGATATAAATTAAATTATATCTAGTTTTGTTTTTGAGACGGAGTCTCACTCTGTCACCCAGGCTGAAGGGCAGTGGCGTGATCTCAGCTCATTACAACCTCCATCTCCTGAGTTCAAGTGATTCTCCTTCCTTAGCCTTCCGAGTAGCTGTGATTACAGGAACACGCCCAAGAATTTGCATTTTCTAAGTTTCAAGGTAATGCTGCTGCTCCTTACCCAGACAACCACACTTACAACCTGCCTTTTTATTTTGAGAATTTTCTATTTATCTTGAGTTTAATGAAATGAAACAAAACCACACACTTAAAACTTTTAGATGGAGAACAATTTTATTCTAAAAATAGATCTTGGTAACAACGAAATACCAAAAGCTGGTCATTATAATAAAAAGAAGAGTTTTTTTCCTGAAAATACAAAATTATCACTATAATATACTGCCAACTCTTGTTTGTCTGTATTTGAATTATTCCTTTAATGGATTATTCAAGGAAATTTTAAGATTATAGACTGGCTTCTGCCAAGTAGACAGACATACATCTGGATTGTTTTGATCTTCAAATAAATACATTCTCAAGGAATGCAAGCAAAATTGAGCATTTTCTTAAGTAAATATAATTAGGAGGGTAAGTTTATGCTTAGGAAATATGGTCCAAAGCAAAATATTGTTTTGCATAACCACTTCCTTCAATTTTTATAGATAACAACAACAAAAAAACCTGCCTAGTACTGGTATTTGAAAGTAACAAATTATCTACTTATATACAGAGAAAAGACATAACTGAACTATTTGAAACCAAAAAATGACTTAGTACTTAAGAAGTTGTTTTTCTATCTATCTTCAAAGTGCTAAAGAAACAAGTATTCAAGAAGAAACTTCAGGTCGGTCCACAAAGTTCTGACTGACTTGAAGTAGTGAAATACCAGGAATGCAGTGGACAAATTTAAAAGGCCTTCATTAGTATAAAGTATATCTTAACTACATTTTGCAAAGAAATGAAGCAATGGTTGCATAACCAGTCAGGGCCAAGTTAGCAACATATACAACTCAGCCATCAGCCTACATTTCTTTTCAAACTAATCTAAATGGATTTTTCAAAAAATTTCTTCCATAGTCTACACGTTACATACATCTAATTATATCCATATTTTGGATAATTTTTTTTCTGTATTCAGATTATTGGTTATAATGCACAGCAAGCAGAAACAATCCATTTCAAAATTCTTATTATCTAGCATTCTCTGCAAACCAAAAGCTGACCACAACAGTTTTATTTCATTCCTATTAAATGTAGGCACATGTTCATTAGGACATCTCAGCTGTTTTTGGGACCTTCAGAAACTGGTGTGATTTACTTTGGCCCTCTAAGATAGAAATGCAATCTTAGTATTTACTGTGACTACATACCTCTCTTGCTAAAACTTGACCCTGAGTTTTATGTGCTAGAATATAAACTTTATTATAAAACTGAAAACACTCCAGAATACATTGGGTAATACTGGTGTCTCTGCAGTACTGTGCTTTTTCTCTCATTAACATAATGCATCTAAAAGTACCTCTCCTTCAGCATGGACTAAGAGGAGGGATCTGAAGAAATATCCCAATCAGGAAGCAGAAAATGTCCTGTCTAAAAATTCCTCTCAAAACTTCCTAAGAATTTATTCGAAAATGTTGGTGTTTCAGTATAAAAATGTCATTTCCCCAAATCTCTGAGTAAAACTGACAGTGCATGAAAAAAAATACAGCATTTTCGTCCTGCAACTTTAGTAGTCTAGGGAAGTCCCACAATCCTTGGCTTAATAAACACAGCATTACTCTATAGTTATGACTACTATCAAATTCTAAATGTTATTTTGAAAATCATACAAGGGGTTCTTTTTCTTAAAGTTAGGTGTGTTTACACTCCATTAAAAACTTCCAGAAAGCAGCTCTACAGTTCTTAAAATATTCATGAAATATAAAAATTAAATGAACTAAAGTAACTTCCAGTGGTGACAATATTCTCACAGTAGCAAATAATCTAACTTCTAGGAGTTTTTCCCTATAATGCCAGGATTATTTAATAGTAACTAAGTCTTTAAAACATTATCATGTTTAAACACTGTGGTTTACCTAAATTACACAGAGAACAAAAATTACATCAACATTGAAAGCTCAAAAGAAGTTATTAATGAACATATATGCTCTTCAATACTTCAATGGATCTCTAACAGGGCTAAGCACAGGTATTATTTTGGGTTTTATTTGAAAATTTTCTTTTTCTTGGTATATTTTGTTTCCAGACCAACTACTACAGTTTAAAGCACAAAAAATGTTGATGTTTTTCTTAAATTGTGCTTCAGATCTGATTCACTTGATTGTATAATTTCTGTTGTGTAGCATTAGTAATTAGGATATATCCAGCTCCGAAAAGCACTGAAGTTCTTTGTGTGAGCTACAAAGATACTCAAAATCCTGAGTGCTGTGACAAATTCCTGATTTGTATGCCCAGATGGCATTCTGTCTTTCAGTGATGACATCTTTCAATTACTGGTCATACGTGACCAATGCCACAAAAAAAAAAAAAAAAAAGATAGGACTTGTCTTACTATGAAATTGCTAAAAAGTGAATATAAACCATTGTATTAACTCTCTATAAGCGCTAGATGTTTATTACAAAACCCAAACCCTTGTTACCTTGAAGAATCTTTACATATTTATGTAATACACTGTACATTTTATGCATGGCCTGTATGCTATTTTCAAGAAGAGAATATTGTTTTAAACTATTAATAAACCAAAATTAATTGATAGGGCTACATCAATCTGTCTTCCTTCCTTGGTCCGTGATTTCCTTAAATGATGGCGTCATGTTCATCTCTGTAATATATTAAAAGTTACAATTACTTTGTTTTGTATTGTTGTCAAAATCACTTATGTTCATATTTGTTAGTAAAGTAACATTAGGACAATTTCAAGCTTCACAACCAAAATTGTCATTGTTCTGCGTAAAGTTCCTTAAGTATCCAGTATACTGTAGTGGTTAAGGATCTGGGGGTTAATGGCATGGGGAACCACTGTCTTGTCTTGCTGCCATCAGAGACACAGACATGGCTTCTGTTTGTAAATCCCTATTAAATATTTCCTTCTAGCTGGGCACAGTGGCTCACACTTACAATCCCAGCACTCTAGGAGGTCAGAACGGAGGATCATTTGAGCCCAACAGTTTGAAGACCAGCCTACGCAAAATAGTGAGACCGTCATCTCTACAAAAACTTTAAAAATTAGCCTGGTGTGGCACTGCATGCCTGTAGTCCCAGCTACTCAGCAGGCTGAGATGAGAGGATCACTTGAGCCCAGGAGGCTGAGGTTGCAGTGACCCAAGATCGTACTACTGCACTCCTGCCTGGGTGACAGAGCCAGACCAGGTTTCAAAGAAACAAAAAAGTTTCCGAGAAACTGGGTATGTCAGCCTTTTTTCCTTTGGCCTCTTAGCTTCCTCAGACTTTAAGGGTAGGTTTACCCAGACCTGCCCACTGCAAAGCGCTCTTTTTAGTCATACTTTATATATTCTTTCATGCACTGATCTTAAAAAAGAAAGAATGTTTCTGAATATGCCTTTAATCTGACAAAACACCACCTTGATATTCTTTTAAAATTAGTTTGAGCCTACAGCCACACCACTGTGAAGATGTCTGATCTCATCTGATCTTGGAAGCTAAAGGGAATTTGTTATGATAAATATATATAATGTAATTTTATTTAAATATAACTTTAAAAAATCTGTTCTTAAGGTTGGGCGTGGTGGCTCATGCTGTAATCCCAGCACTTTGGGAGGCCGAGGTGGGCACATCATCCTGAGGTCAAGAGTTTGAGACCAGCCTGGCCAACACGGCAAAACCCCATCTCTACTAAAAATAAAAAATTAGCTGGGCATGATGGCAGGCACCTATAATCCCAGCTACTCGGGGGGCTGAGGCAGGAGAATCGCTTGAACCCCTGGGAGGCGGAGGTTGCAGTGAGCTGAGATTGCACCATTGCACTCCAGCCTGGACAACAAAAGGGGAACTCCATCTCAAAAAATAAATAAAATCTGTTCTTAAATTATCATTTCATTTAAGTATTAGTAATGTTAACTGTTAGATCCCATTTTCATTTATGATGTGATGTTTATTTTCAGCTTATATTAATAAATTGAAAATCTGGGAAACTTTTCCATGTTCATATTTAGTACTTCTTACAAATTTGTCAAGAAGTTTGATTTGCTTTTATGTGTATTGAATCGTATGTAGTATCAAAACTGGAAGGTTCCCTCCAATGGCCTATTCCAACATTTTCCAAAATGTATTCCACACAATACTAGTTCCAAGAGACAGACAGTATTAGCTCCCCTTGAAAAGGGGCAAGAGGAAGGATTTATTCATTCAACAAGTATTTTGGTTAAAAATTTGGGAAACAATTCGTACTGTATTCCTTCCTGGAAAATCATAATATAAATCAGCATTTTAAAGGCTTAAAGCAGTCTTACAGTAAACTGTTTTAGTTTACTTTATTCAATTGAACATTTCCCAAACTTTTTGATATAGGAGTTCTGTGTGTGGGACACATGTATGTCAAATGTTAACCCACAGAGCAAATTTTGGAAAAGGTCATCCGTTCGATGATATTTATATACATTAACAATTTTTAAAAATGAATTAGCTCTTGCATATATGCAAAAGGAGGAATGGTTTGTTGAAATCCTAATTAATATTAGTATGTTGAAACCCTAATCCCAGTGTGATGATATTTTGAAGTGGGGCCTTGGAGGGGTAGTTAAGTCATGAGGGTGGAGCCCCCTTGAACAGAATTAATACCCTTACAAGTAGAGGTCAGAGAACTAGCTAGTTTCTTTCTGCCATGTGAGGATACAATGGGAAGTTGGTGGTATGCATCCTGGAAGAAGGCCATTAGCAGAACTGAAACTTGTTGGCACCCTGATCTTGGACTTCCAAGCCTCCAAAAGTGTGAGAAATAAATGCCCGTTGTTTAAGGCACCCAGCTGTATGATACTTTGTTGTATCAGTGTGAACTAGGACAACATGTAAGACTCAAAAAACAAAAACCGAAAGGACTATTAGCACAACAAAAGTTTGGATATATTCCCAAACCATAAGACCTATAGAGCTACATGTAGGGTAAACATAGTTTGTTGATTAGGTCTTGTTGATAATGCACATCTAAAAAGACAGTTTTGCTACAGATAAAGTGATAAATTATATTATTTATACTAACCACTCATTTAAATTATCAGGGACAATGAGGCTGTCAGAGGAATTTCTTTTGTTTATCTTTGTCATGGAAAGAAAAAGCCATGTTTTTACCAAGGATGCTATTTAGTACTACAACAGACACAGACATATTAAGCCTGCTGAGAACTGTATTTCTTATGATTAGTGGTATGAGTAAGTGAAAATTTGGGGGTGGGTTAACTTTGGTCTCTTGCAAAGTATGTTTGACACTAGTAAAATACATTTTTGTAAGTAGATACATCCATTTTCATTTGCAAATTATAATCACAAGCTTGTACATAAACAATTTACTTTGGGCCAGAAGGGTTAATGGGAATATAACTCATAAATCTATCAATTATTCATCACTGAAATGAACACTTGCCTGATATTCTATCATAATTAAAGATGTGCAGAAACAATTTTTTTTTTAAAGTCCTGGCCATTCAAAACTTACATGGTTCTATACCGAATGCCTCTTCTTGAGTAGTACATTTTGCATCCGATGTAAAGAATAGATAAAACTCCCAGCGTTAATACAATACCACCAACAAAGCTCCCAGTATCAAATCTGGATCCTTTCTTTGCTTCAGAATGCATAGTTGCTGTAACTAGGACAAAAACAAAAAAGCCTTTAATGCTTTTTTTTTTTTTTTTTTTTTAAAACATTATAATTATAATGCTGATTTTCTAAAACTAGGATTTAAGGGAAATCTAGGCATATAAAATTTCTATATGTTTTTGCCAGATAAGATGATGGCCTAAATGTGGCATTTAACTACTTGCAGCATAGGAAAAACAGGTCAACTTTAATACATACTTGTTACTGATGAAGAAACAGATGTCACTGAACTATTGTGAGCTATGGGCATCGTGGATGTTGCTATCTGAGATGTGTTCTGTGAAACACTTGTTGTTTTGGGTGTAGACTTGAAGGTGGCAGTTGTATTTGTTGAGACCATCCTTGGTGTTGTCGTATTAGCTGCTGCTGTGGGTTTCATGGTGGTGACTGTCTTATTGCTGGGGACTGAGGCAGCTGTAGTTGGTAGTTTCATAGTGCTGTTGGAAGTTTCATTTGCATGGTCAGAAGGCACAAGTTGGAGAGTCTCTGCAATAATGTTGAGAAACATTTAAACCAGAGCTATGATTTAGGGTCCTTTTCACTGAGACTTTCATGGTCACAGACAAAGCAAGAGATCTTACAAATACAACATTTAATATACTTAGCCCATTAATACTTTGCACTGTACTGCAATAAAATGTCTCAAATTACTAAAACACTCAACGGAAACCAAGTCTAAATTTATATAAAGTTAAAAATTTGGGGGAAGATATGAAGAAAAAAACCCCAGAAGATTGAGGTCCTTCAGCGCAGGGACATGTCTTAATCACTCTGTCTGAACATCTCAACATACTTGTTTATCACATAAGAAGCTTTCAACAAATAACTTAAATGGATGGATAAATTAACAAATATAAAATGATTTTTAAATTTCCAGTTCTCTGCTATACCTTCTAGGGGCTTTGGGGACAATAAATCGGTAGCTGCATGTTTCTAAGCCCTCTGGCAGGATGAAAGTGCAATTGCGTTTTTAAGAGGAAAGCCAACTTCCCACAATGCATTAGGAAGTGAAATACCATCACAGAATGTGGCTAGTTGTCATACTGGTTAATAATGATTTCCCATAGCTGGAAGGACAGTTCTAAAACTATCTGTGAAAGTTCTAAAAATCCGAAAGCCAATTTTGTATTAAAGAAAAATCAGTGATGATTTAAAATACACAACTCAAACAACACCTTAGCTCATACCTGAAACTGGGTTTTTCTTTTTGGGGGCATATGATGTACAAAAATAAATAGGTACTGCTCTTGTTAATGCTCCTTAAAATAAAATAAAATAAAAATTTTTTTTTTTTTTTTTGAGACTTAGTTTCACTTTGTCACCAGGCTGAAGTGCAGTGGCATGATCTTGGCTCACTGCAACCTTCTCTGACTCTTGGGTCCAAGCAATTCTCCTGCCTCAGTCTCCTAAGTAGCTGGGATTATGGGCGTCTGCCATCAAGCCAGGCTAATTTTTGTATTTTTAGTAGAGATGGTGTTTCACCAAGTTGGCCAGGCTGGTCTTGAATTCCTGACCTCAAGTGATCCGCCCGCCTTGGCTTCCCAAAGTGCTGGGATTATAGGCGTGAGCCACCATGCTTGGCCAATACTCATTAAAAACTTTGATTACTTTTGTTTTCATCCACTAGAGGTTTCCTTCTTTTTGTATAAAATATGGCATATAACCAGAAGCAAACTTTTCTGTGTTAGTATTATTTCATATTGCATCTTTGTAACTCCACAATTTAATGTTTACAACTATAGGTCCTATTAGTACACAATGTCTAGGGAATGCAAGCTTTTAATATGTCTTTGTCCATTTAATATGTAATATATTTCTGTATTCATTTCCTATCTCAGTTTATTTTCAGGTTTATTGGTTTTCTATGCTGCCTACTGCTATGGTTTGGATTTGATTTGTTCCTATCAAAACTCATACTGAAATTTGATCCCCAATGTGGCAGTCTTGGGAGGTGGAGCCTAGTGGGAGGTATCCGAATCATGGTGGCAGATCCCTAATAAATGGCTTGATGCCCTTCACGTAGTAGTGAGTGAGTTCTCGCTCTGATGAAACTGATTGGTTCCTGTGGAAATGGATGAGTTCCCATGAACGGAGGCTGTTATAAAGCCAGGATGCTCCTCAGGTTTTCTATCTTTGCAGTTATCCACTTCCCCTTTGACCTTCTCTGCTATGTTGTGACACACCTTTATAAAAAGCCTCCCCAGAAACCAGGGCTTGCAGAACTTTCCCAGCCTGCAGAACCTTGAGCTAAATAAACCTTTTCTTTATCCATTACCTAGTCTCAGGTATTCTTTTATAGCAACACAAAATGGAATAAGACACCTATGTACTCCCATTTTATTCTTTATGTCCAAATACTTAAGGTACAAAGAATTAACCACTGGGCCTCCCTTCTCCTTTCCCAGTGAGAGCAGTACCAATGTCTTTAGGTTCCTTGTCCCGTCACGACCGTCAAGTAACAAGTGATACTTCATATATTATCCTGTCTTCCACAACTATTTTAGGCTTATTCTTGAAAGACAGACAGATTGACATTTATTTATTTGAAACAGAGTCTCGCTCTGTCACCCAGGCCAGAATGCAGTGGCACAATCTTGGCTGATTGCAACCTCTGCCTCACAGGTTCAAGCGATTCTCCTGCCTCAGCATCCTGAATAGCTGGGATTATAGACACGTGCCACCAAACCCAGCTAATTTTTCTATTTTTGGTAGAGACAGGGTTTCACCATGTTGGCCAGGCTGGTCTCAAACTCCTGACATTAAGTGATCCACCCACCTTGGCCTCCAAAAGTGGTGGTGTTACAGGCGTGAGCCACCGTGCCTGGCCCCTATATTTATTTTCAACTTAACTGTCAAAACAAGTTGGTTTTAATAGTGCTGCTTATCTGCATATCAGGTTTTATTACTGAAATTTCTACTTTCTTCAACTTAGGGTCCCTGTGATCTCTTCTACCTAGTATGATCTATTTTCTTAAGGCCTAAGGAATTAATGCTTTTATACTACATAGGCAAATAAACAATAATTATCCAAGTAAATAATACAAATGCAATGAACTTGAGCTAATCTTTTCTTATTCCAGATCTGATTTTCTGTAGAGATACAATCACGTTTTAAAATGTCGAATGGATTCTATTGCAATAAAATTAAATACAGCAAAGAACTAATGTTTATATTGTATCTTTAGAGCAGAAAGATCCTGTAGAATAAAACAATGAACACAGTGCTGCTTTTGGATTCAACACACACACACCCTTTCCATTGCCCTCTGGTATAAGAAAACATTCTTCAGAGATACTGTACAGTCACATGGGCAAAAATGGGAAGCTATAATAGGTTAGTTCTCTTTCGCTAAGTCAATCCAAATGTGCTAAAGAAACAGGCTGGGTGTGGTGGCTCATGCCTGTAATCCTAGCACTTTGGGAGGCCGATGCAGGCAGATTACCTGAGGTCAGGAGTTCAAGACCAGCCTGGTTGGCCAACATGATGAAACCCCATCTCTCCAAAAAAAAAAAAACCCAGGTATGGTGGTGAGGGGTGCCTGTAATCCCAGGTACTCAGGAGGCTGAGGCAGGAGAATTACTTGAACCCAGTTGGCGGAGGTTGCAGTGAGCCGAGATCGTGCCACTGCACTCCAGCCCGGGGGACAGAGCAAGACCCCGTCTCAGAAACAGAAAGAAAGAAAAAAAATTTGTGTCAATTTCTACAAATTGACAAAACAGACATAAGAAATTTTGTATTTAAATGTGTTTCCTGATGCTTACAAGTCTCAATGAAATGAAGGGATGCCCTCCAAATTCACATTTGATGACCCAGTCTTCTTCTGTAACAAGATAGAGTCATTTGTTTTCCTCTGCAAATGATACTATACCAACTCTAGTCTTCTTCCCTCTCCTTTAGCTGTTGAGATACCTCCTGGAGTGGCATAGTTAACACCTGCATAGAGACACAGAATGGACCCATCCATGTGGGACTTGCAAAGGGTGAAGCTTTATCTAACTCTGCTCATCTTAGCCACTCAGTCTCCTCTAGCTGCCTATAAGCTAAGGTTGAAGAGGTCTGAGAAGCATATGTTGCTGGAGGGTGTGAGTGTACAGTGTATCCGCTCCTGCCTCTGTCTGTGGGAAAAGAGGAGAATGCTATCCTTCACCTCACACCTGCCTGCGAAGGCTTCTAGGGCACTACCTGAAGAGCTAGACAAGCATCTACCGGACTTAGATGGACACAGACAGTAGGATTTGATTCAAGCCTGAATAGTAAGTCTAAAGGTGAGACACTGTGGCTGAGCTCTGTCTACCCATCAGCTGAGTTTAAAAGGCTGCACTGGGAGTAGATCACACCTCCATTAACAGCAAATGTTCTTGTTTCCCATGAACCAAATCAAACTCCATGGAAGATAACTGACATGGAGTTGCTTTTAAAAAGAGAGTTTTCCAAGAGAGTACAACTTAGAGAGCGGGAGGTCACTAGTAGGGGGTGGAGCACCAAAAGCAAGGGTCAGCTGGAGGAGAGGCGCACTGCATCAAGAGAGCTGAAGGGGGAGGCTTAGCAGGAGGATCTCCCAGGAACATACCAAGGAGAAGCACACATCTGCCATCCAGAAAGCACCTGAGCCAAAGGCATACATCCCAGCCATCAACTGAACAGCTTTTGTCCCTTAAGCCTCTCTAGGCCCGATTCTGTAAGGGTTGCAAACAGCAGAAGTGAGGAGAAGAGGTGGAGCGAGGAAGGAAGCCAACGACATTAACTTTTCCACTGCAGGCTTCTAAGCCTGAAGCAGGATTGGGCTGGCAGAAGGGACAATTTTCAATTTTGAATCACTGTGGCTTTATTATTTTCATATTATTCTGGACAGGAGCTGCACCCTATGAAATAGAACTTATTCAGTGAATTGGACATTCTATAACACCTCAGCTAAGGCAGTTGGGAGGGTAGAGTCACCAGAGAAAGGGTGTGTGTGATATACAGTTGGCCATGCTCAGTGTTAAGGGAAGTCTTAACTCCCTGTACTTCAGAATGTGACCTTATTTGGAGAGAGACTCTTTACAAAGATCATTAAGTCATTAGGGTAGGCTTATTTATCCATTATGGTTGGTGTCCTTATTAAAATGGAAAATTTGGAGACACACACACACACACACACACACACAGGGCAAATACCCTGTGAAGATGAAGGAAGAGATCATGGTGATGTTTCTACAAGCCAGGGAAATGCGAGAGATTGCCATACCAGAAGCCAGAGGAGAGGCATAGAACAGATTTTCTCACAGCCCCCAGAAGGAGGCAATCCTGCAAACATCTTCACCTCCGACTCCAGCCTCCCGAACTGTGAGACAATCAATTTCTGTTGTTTAAACCACCCAGTTCCTGGTACTTTGTTTCTGCAGCCCTAGCAAATTAAGACACTCAGCTTTAAAGGTTTTTTCATTTATAAAAAATATATCTCTGTGCAACAGTACAACTGGCACTAGTGATTGTATTGAGCTGG